AGTGTCAACGATGGTTCAGCAAATTTTGTTCAGGTGACTTTAGCCTTAAAAACTGTGATGGGCCAACATGTTAGAATTGATATTGATGCTCTGAAGACGTTTGTTGAGTCTAACCCAAGGCAACACAATCATGAAATGGCCCTGAAATTGCATGTCTCTCATGAAACAGTACGTAGACATCTAAGATATTTGGGTGCATCACGAACTCTTCGATGATCATTGTTTCCAACATGTGAACATTGCTTCATCTCTTCTAGCACATAATGCGTGTGAACCATTTTTGGACAGAATTGTCACTGGTGATGAAAAGTGGATTCTCTATGAGAATAGCAAACGCCAAACAATGGCTCAGTCCTAAACAAATACCACTTCCGACTCCAAAACCTGGACTCCATCCACAGAAAGTGATGCTTTGCATTTGGTAGGACATCAAAGGAGTAATTCATTTCGAACTCCTCAATCCACTGCGAACTGTCAAAGCAGAGATCTATAGTCAGCAACTGGAATGTTTAAATCAAGCCCTTCATCAGAAATACCCTTCACTCGTCAATTGGAAAGGTGTTCTTCTTCTCCACGACAATGCACGTCCACATGTGACACTTTTGATGCAACACAAGACTATGGGGTTGGGTTGGGAAGTTCTCCCCCACCCACCATATTCTTCAGATATGGCACCATCAGATTACCATCATTTTCATTCACTGCAACACCATCTTAATGGGAAAACATATGCAAATGTGGAAGATGTTAAAGAGAACATCAACATGTTTTTGCTTCAAAGTCAAGTGATTTCTTTAATCAAGACATTAACAACCTGATTGTAAGATGGAAACGAATGTAGGCTATTTCATTTATTAAAGGGTTTGTTTTGATATATATATATATGTTGTTCAGGTTTTTTTCATCTAAAAAAAGCAACATTAATTTATTGATGACGTAATACATATAGCAATTACATGGCTAACTACATTGGAAACAACACATAGGTTGCTACTGAAAATAGTTTTATCTAGCATCCCTTAGATTTAAATCAGATACTGAGTACCAGAATTTCTCTCTGTGTTATGTGGGGTGTTATATACTTTTAGGTACTTAATAGTTCAACTGGCATGGTGGTTGGGTACTCCCAAACTGCAGGTCATCAGATCAAAACCCAATGCCGACTGTGCTGGCTCTTTCAGCTGTGGGACGTTATAATGCAAAAGTCAGTCTCACTATTCATTGGTAAAGAGTAGCACAAGAGTTGTTAGTGGGCGCTGATAGCTGCTTGCTTTCCATATGATTGACAGTTCAAAATTAGGGACAGCAATGGATAACAAATAAACCGTAATTCAACCTGGGACAAAGCTGTTTCATTCAGTTCAAGATTGCAGAGTTAAAATTCTTATTTTTACTTGCTCATTTGATATTGTCGTATGTGAAAGATTTAAAATCATGAAAGAGAAATAAAAGTAAAATCTTAAACTAAATGTAGTGTGAGACATTAAGTACAATTCTGACATGGTAGGAAAGGTAGGTTTTGTGTATTTAAGTATCTGTTATATGGCATTTTCTTTTCGCCTTTAGGCAGAAGAAAGGGCCCAAAGAAAAGACCATGATAAAAAAGGAGAACAACTTTCATCACAGAATGTGGAAAATGATAAGTATGAGCAATTTTCAACAGGTCCCTGCCCTGGACTAAAAGAGGAGCTGATATATGAAGTAACATTTATTTAACTATTTTATAAATATATGTTTTTATATGTTAGTTTAACAGTGTAAAGTACTAAATTAATATTTTTGTAAATATTTAAAAAGTGGTATTAGAAAAGGGAAATTTACTCCTCATTATAAAACATTTAGACACTAACCAGCCATCATTCTTGCCATCAGAATTTTATACATATGATTATTAGAAACACAGAGAAGTATGGCGAGAGAGTTTTTGTAGTGTTTTTCTTGTTATCATATAATACTTAGGCTTATTTAACTTGTGTTTAAGCCTACTCCTCTGGGGTTTACTTGTTCCTTTTTACCAGTAGTCCAAAACTAGATCAAATGGTGTATATATTATCAAATGTCATTTACATGATCAAAGTACACTGTTGCACATAATTATTGATTAATGTTGCTTTAACCTAGATTAGGTTTAATGATGAGAAAAGGTATTTCATAAAATGGGTCTAACTCAAAAAGTAGATCAAAACATAAATAGTTTACAAATTTACCCAATAAGTATTATTAAAAAATCCAAAACAAATTACACTGTGATTGAGAAGCAGAAGTGTACATTAAATATAATGAAATATGTTTGTTTTTCAATCAAAATGTATTCTTAACTTTAATTTCAATGTGATTATACAACTTTATATTTTTAAAAAATGTTATTTTTTTATACCAAAAGTAAAAGAACATAATGAAGTAACTGAATTTAAAGTTGTATTTATTTCATTATAAGGATGTGTATGTGGTATTGGGTAATTGTATCATACAATATAAAAATTTCAGCTTGTTGTTATGTTTGTTATCTTTGTATTTTACTATTTTTCAAATTAATAGAAGCATTACTGGAGATTTACTTTTTTTTTTTTTCAGAATTGAGTGTCCTTCATTTGAATAGTCTAAATATTTTGCGCTTCAATTCATTATAGAAACATATTGAAGTGCCACCTTGTGACCAGTTTGTTCATCAAAAATCTGAAGCTCAAGCAAAGATTCAGCAATCAAGAAAAGAAATGTATGGGAAAGTAAAGCCAACACCTAATGGAAATGGTTATCAAGAAATGGAGAGGAAGGAAGCAGTTCAACATTCTCAATCAGAAGAAAAACAGAAAAAACAAGATTTAGAGGCTAGTCAGCCAGTGTATCAGCAGGTTATTTTAAATGGCTATGTAACAGCCCTCACGCAAGACAAAGGTAAGTCTTTAGCTCTCTGTTGCTGAAAACTGTGAAATATTTGTAAAATAGTCCTTTTAGTTATAAAAAAAATATTTTTGATTCATAAGCACCATATGTGGTGATTTCAATTTTTTTATTACTATTATTTCCTTGGCTGGGATTCAAACCCAAGATGTCTCACACACCAAGAAAATGGTCCACTGACTGAGCTAAAGAGTTAAGCCCTTGCATGCCAGGCATTTTTGTTAACAACTAACTGAAATATCACAAAAGAGGTTCCTACATTGGGTACCAGTTTCTTCTTGTAATGATTTCAAATTGTTATTATTATTATTATTATTACTTCTTCAGCTTGGATGTGAATCCAAGAACTCTTGGACACCACAATTTCAAATTTCAGTCCATCTCGTTAGAAATTTTCACATCCATATGACTTGTATTCATATGAGACTAATAAATGTTTGTTGCTTGGCCTTTAGATTGAGATAACGTTTAATGAAACATTGCAGAAATTTTTTGTTTTTTTAATCTGTGATGGCAAGAAGAAACTGAAACCATAGAGTTAAAAACATTGCTCAGCATATAAAAAAATAATAAAATCCAATTAAAAGACAATTTCTCTTAGTTATGTTAATTTTTAACTTTCAACAAAATATTTCATTTGATAAACATTACACATTCTCCTCACCAGATTGTCCATTTTTAGTACTGTAGATGAGCATGATAAGTACAGGCCAATATTTAAGACAGCCTGCTTAGAATCTTTGCATTTTATTGCTATGTACCAGCATGTCATTTATTCAGGTTGTTGTTTAGATGACCATTACCAAAATTTATAGAACAGATTATTTTTCAATTAAAAAAAAGGTAACGATATATCTTTCTTTTTTTTAAATTAATGTGGTTTATGTATTTGCTTTTCACTTTAATCACAATTATACAACTACATGTAGTAGTTTGTTTTTTTGTTTTTTTTTGTATGTTTGGTGAGTTGTTTTGTTTTTCAGTCAACAATACTGTAAGAAAGCCCTGTGAAACATGTCTGTCTGTTGAGCTAGAATCTTAGCGTCTTTGGTCAGCTAGGTTTTTAGCCAATCTTTTCTGTAATTCTCATTTTATTTTGTTTGAAAACTGTAATTATCTATGAAAGCAATATGAATATTGTGGACCAAAAAGATGGAAACATCTTCCTGGAAAACAAAGTTAATGTGAATGAAAGCCAAGAATAGCTAGTACAAAAAAATTGGTTTACCACTGAGACATCATAGATGCATAGATACCTGGTACTTATGTTTGTAGAGGGGGAAAATTCTTTTATACTGTTTTAGTTTTCTGTTGCGTTATTTAATAATGCCTGTATACAAAGCTGTAAAAGCAAAAATAAGTCTTTTTTTTTGGTAAAAAATTATTGTTATGTCCCTTGGTAGAGGAAATGTATATCAATAATTTATAATGTAGAAAATTTTTGTAATTAATTTCAGCACTGATTATATTATCTTGCACAATTATTAGCAGATTTAGAATGTGGTTTTATGCATTATGTGAAATCAGTTTTGTTTCATCAGTGCAGTGATTCGAAATAGCTGATGTTTTATAAATTTTCTTTTTAGCATTGGGTAAGTTGTATTTTTTTAAAAAATTCATTGAATATGTATAATGTTTAATAATTGCAAAATTGTCTTTCACTGAATTTATTACCTAGGAAATTTTGTGATACTGGTATTTTAGAAAAGCTTTACTTTTTTATGAATGAAGTCGTTATTTTATAGGTGAAAGCATTGTTTATCTCCTCTGTGATAGTAAGCTACTATAACACTTGTTACTGTTTTGTATAAGAGTACTGATAAAGATGCGAGTTGAAATTTTTGTTTATAATAGCTGAATCTTAATCTCCAATTCTGGATATATAAAACATTAACTAGCCTACATGCTACAAAAAATAAATTCCTCAACATTTTTCACTTAGAAATAATTTATAGTGGACATAAGTTACCATAATTATGATTTTTTGTGGTTCATTTTATAATTTTCTTTTTGTTCTTCTGTTCATATTCAACAAGTTCAAAAATGTGTGGATTTTAGTCACTGCACTATAGGCTACCAAATAGATTATTTTAATAGATGCCCTATGACAAGTGTATCTTTTTTGTTTTCTGTTTCGTAGATGAGGGTTTTTTTTTTTAGAATTTGCCTTAGGTTGTGTGCTTAGACCTTGTTTGTGTGTATCTGAATAGCTACGAGGTTATTGCTTTCTGCAGATATTTTCTATGTCAGAAATTTCCAGATTATTTCTTGTGTTTCTTACACACTTCCAATACAATGACTTGCGTTTGTACAAAGAACAGCTATTTTCCTCTTGAAGTTGTGGTATTCTGCATCAGAGATTTACATGCCACCAGCCTTGTACATCTACCACTCACATGAAGGATTTAAAAAAATAATTTTTGTAGGTTTTATATGTGTATTTTGAAATAACAAAAAAATTATAAATTACTATACCAATACCATAAAATTCCTCTGACATTTATTGGGCTTCATTACTCAGCTGTATTTGGGTCTAAAAAATTTTATTTTTGTAAGCATTTTGCCTTGATGACCACTCTTCAAACTCTCGAACCATTATAACAGCTTTACCTGTGTAAGTCCCTTTTTTTTCCTATGCATGTACACCTCTCAATATCCTCCCTCAGGTCCTTGCTCAATTTTGGGACACTCCTTTGATTATCTCTCAAAGTCTATCCCAACTTTCTTTCTATTACTATACTTTTTCAAGTCTCAGCCCTGACTTTCATATCCCTTCTGATCCACCCTTACAAACTACTCTTACCTCAGGATATGACATCCCTTTATCATTGTGTATAGGATTGTCCAGTCTACCTCTCTGATCATGTAACTGTCCCTTTGTCCCACTCCTATCACCTTTATACCTCTTCTGTGTACCAAGGTACCTATCACCTGGATCTCATTGTCATCATTTCCCTTTGATTTCATTGTAACATATTCCTCCTATTTAATGGGACATTTCTCCCATGATATGTAAGTATCTTCTATCTTGGGATTTAGGGCAGCATTTCTTCCACCTTCTGTCTTTCCCGATGTCACAGTTTTCTTTCTTCTCTGCTTCCTTTCTACCCTGTTTTATTCCTTCCTTATCCACTGCTCCCCTTCCTACTTCTTGCCTGATTAGATTATTTTTATGGTTCTCCATGCTCTTACTGGGTCCCTATCAAACCTTTAGCTGATGTTTCTGCTCTCCGTAAACACATAAGTCTTATTCATACTTGCTGTTGATACTCGTCATACACGTATCTACACCCTTGTTTCCTCCCACTTTCTCATTACCACTCTTCTCTTCTCCTTTATCCTGGTTGCTCTTTCCTCTCCTCATACCTCATGGTGAGGGAATGTGGTCACTCCTTTTCTCCCATATTCCCTCCTTCAGTTTCTTCTTTCGATGTTATTTCTGTTCCAAACAGATGCCATTGGGTGTCACACTCCATATGCTTTCCTTTGGGCACTTTATGAAGGGAACTCATCAAGGTTTAATGTTTTCACCAGCTCCTCTTGTCATTTCAATGTGGCTATTTTGTGTATGTGTAATTGATGTATTGTCTCAAAAGTTAACATTTCCTTACCTGAAAACATATTTCAGATTGATATTCACCTCCACACACCTTCCCACCCATCCTACTCACTTCAGGTGCACTTTCCTCTTGCCTCGTCTGAGATAGAAGTTATTTCAAACGCAAGTGCTTAAGGGAATTACTGTGCAAGCAGGTTGTATTGCCCTCCTATTGGTGAAGGGCTGTCATCACATGATGATGTCATCATGCACTTGTGCAGTTCATGTTAAACTTGTGATTTTTAGGTGGAAGTTAGCTCAAGGCTAGCGGCATGCAAGTCTCATAGCTGATGCTCAGTTGGAGTTGAGTATCTATCAGAAATACTTAAGTTAACTTTCAGAACTGGCAATCCTAGAAAATCAGTGATTTCTTTCAGGAAGTCTGTATTGGTCTAACACCGTCAGTCCCACATCAGTGCATTGTACGTAAGCCTCCTCCATTGGAAATTGTGCTACAGAGTAATATTCCATAACTATGGCTGTAAGGCCTAGGCACTTATTCTTGTATCATTACCATGAATCATGGTTTGTGAACATCCCATTTGTGTTTGTTAACAAAACTAAATGTGAAACAACTAATAAGAAAGATTTTTGTTTATTGATTGTTTATGAAAAATTAATGTCTGTGTAACTCTGAGAATGTATATTTTCTGTCCTTGATAGTGACATTGTCTTGCTATTTTTCTAAGAATTTCAAAAATGAATTACTTTATGAGTTCAATACTTCGCAAAATGTGAATAGGATTATATCTTTCCTTCTCAGAAAATAATGCACCTGTAAAGAAGATAGAGGTCTCTCTGCCAATGACCAGTAACAGTATAAGCCCTCCAGTGCTTGATTCAAAGGTTTTAAATCAAGCAGGTGTATGGGCCACTTACTGTAAAAACAACAGGATGAGTAAAGAAGAAGATAGTTCCATGAAAAAAGCAGAGGGGTCAAACAAAAATGGTGATATACAACAGGTGTAGTTACATTTTTTGTTCCTATCAAGATTTAAAGTGTCAATTTATGTTCCATAATGTTTTTGAATTTTGTGTTAATAATAGAAAATGATTATTTGTTTAAAATATTTTATTCAATAAATTTGACTCTTTATTTTAGTTGTTAGAAATGTTAAGGACTTTGAATGGATATTCTTGCACCTGCTTTCATTGCCCATATGTTTTAGATACGTACTTATATAATAGTTGAATGATTTAATTAAAGCATTATATTTATAATATCATTTAATTTATACAAGCCACATCTGCAGTTTGTGGTATGTATTTGGTTCATATTGACAAAGGTATTTATCCCTTTCTTTTAACAGTTGAGTAAACTTTCTGTTAGAGGAAAGAAAAATAAGAAGAAGAAAAATTGTACAGATGACATAACATGTCCAGGTATGTATTTGGGTGGAACAAGCTGATTACCAAAGTAGCCCTAAACATTCTTAACCGTGTTCATATAACTATTTACTTCACTTAATTGGATTTGCTATAACTAGTTGCTTATGCTAAAGAAAACAGTACACAACTTAATATTCTCATAAGTAGGTTTGACTATTTAGAAATTTGCTGCATAACGTGTGTTAGGTGAATGATTAAGGAATGGGCTGCTCCAAAATTCCACTAAAGACAAGCCAGACAGAATATTTAGTTGTGTGCTAACAGGTGCTGATTCTGTCCAAAAAAAGTAAATACTACAGATCAAACCTGATCGGAACCAGTTTGAGACTATTCTAAACCTTGTGTTTAATTTTTGTAAGATACATTGTTTATACTGTTAAAGCTAATTATAAACATATCCTTTTAAATACAAATTGTAAGTACATAGGCAAGGGAAGAAGCTGTTAAACAGTTAGTAATATTGATTGGTTACATCAGTATCATCTTGAGTAAGAAAGGTTTGAGTCTAAAATGTGTTTGTTACTGTCATTAACGTCATAATAAAATAACTTCATATTACTTTAAAAATTGATTTTACGTATAAAATCTTAAACATATTATTAAACTGGTGTATAATTGTAGTCTTATTTTCTCGTAAAATCAATTCAAGAAGTTAGATGAATAGCTTTAAAAAGCTTGGTGACATTTCAGAAGATGATGTTGTGTAGAAACAGCTTTCATTAGTAATGTTGACTGACCTTACATGTAAGCACAAGAATGTGGTTTGATGGAGGTTAATAAAAACAACTAGTTTTTGTGGGCCATTATAGTAGATCACATAAAAAAACTAATTATAGAACAATTTTAAGTTGTTAACCTTTTTATCTGTGATATAGTATGTGCTTTATATTTGCTACTATTTCTTATAAATTTTGTGTGTGTGTGTGTATTACATCTTTGGTGTTTTGTTTTATTTTGTTAAAAAATGTGTTAATTACTTAGCACTTCATTTACATGCTTGATTTTGTTTAATGCCTTTGTATAAGTTGATTTAATGATGCTTAAGTTTTCCACTAGATGAAGACTTGTTACTAAAATTACATGATCTTTGTTTTTTGTGGGCTTTTTGTTAATAATTTTTGTTAAAACGTAGAAGATACCAAAGAGAAAATGAGTTTGCTGTAACATATTGAATCGGAACACATGTAGGATCGAGACCGAGAGTGCCTGAAAGTCAGCTGTAGATCTTAATAAGTTTCTGATATTAATTTGGTTTTGTCATTGTTCTATGAAAACAAAGGCCTGATCCAAACAGAAAAGTAGCATAGTTTTGATAATTTTATACAATTACATAACTCAAAAGAATGACCTTGAGAGGAAGAAATTAAGTATTTACAGACCTTAACTGAGTCATCAGGATGTTTAGACTAGTTGTACTAGACATGGGTAGGCTAATGGGCTTTATTTATTAGTTGAGTTTATTAATCTATAAGAACTTTCATGCTGTTAGAAAGATTATTTCTAGGCCTTATTGTTATGCAAGTTTTTTTTTTCAACTGAAGAACATTGACACTGCATTTTGTGTTGCTTTTAGATAATAATTAAACTGTACTGTGGGAGAACTTCTTTTTAACGCAGCTTTTTGTGCATTTAGATGAAGTTTTCCTACCTAACTATAATGGACTAGAAAATGGAGAATTAGATGAACTAGAAAGGGAACTTGAAGATTTTAAAAGGTAAATAGTACATTTGTAATCTGGGTTAGTTATAGATTAAGTAAGTGTTGGCCATTCATTAGTTCTTTCTTTTGTTAGTAGTCACACAAGAAACCCAAATAATTATGTGTTCAAATATTTTCATACGTTCATAATTATTTTTATAAAAACGCAAAAGTTCCTTCAAATGGTGATTCAGTTTGGGCATGAGTCCAAAAATATTCAGAAAAATATATATGTGTGTGTGTGTCTTTAAGATACCTGTCAAAATTAAAACAATTTAATTATGTAATGTAATATGTTGTTCTCCAAGTTTTTTTTATTAGATGTTTGTTGAAATGGTTTAGTCATAGTTTGGGGTTTAAAAGAAATATCAGACAAAAGTACCCACTTACTAAAGATAAGTATTCAGGCGGGATTTAATGGTTTGGGAAATAATTTTTATCTTAGCTTTAGTTAAAAAAATATGAATTAAGTTTTGGCATGTATTCTTATTATATAGTGTAGGATATGTTATATCCTCCCCCCCTTTTATGAATAACTCTGTGAAATATAAGTTTGTTGATTCTAACTTGCATTTTGTATGACACCTTGGTAATAGTTGAATTTATTATATAATCTTTTAGACTAAAGAATTTTACTTAACTTTTGTGTTTGGGTTGATTTTTTTATTTCAGTTTAAATTGCCATTCTGGCAGACCTTTGGCAGCCATGCTTTTTTTTTTCATGTACTACTGTTTATCTTGGGAAGAACCTTAAAATTTGAATTTACTCCAATATGTGGTAGGTTTTTTTGAAATATATTTAATAGTAACTTTTCCACATACAGGTTTTGTATGAATTCTGTACCACCTGCACACAGAGAGAAGGTACATGTAAATCTGAAAGATATTGTTGTGAAGACAAGAAGACCAAATTATGGAATCAGCACTTTAGCTGGTGGTCCTTAGCAGATTGTGTTCCTGTCCTACAAGCTGCTTGAGCTGGAAAGATGAAAGCAGCAGAAAACTTAAGTTAACCCCCATCTATAAGCAACCTTGATGCGGAATAAAGGAAGTTTTCATTCTTCTTGCTGATGTCCAGTGAACTTTGACCTTAACTTTTTTTTCTTTGAGGGCAACAGCTTTGATGTTTTATTGGGACATTAATTAACCTCTGTTAAATAACTTGTTGAGAGTAAAATATGAATTGCAGAGAAATATAATGATGCATATACAAAAATCCAGTTTGTTATACAGTCTTTTACCACCTTCTTTTGTTAGATTATAAGATATTGGTGCGCCTATTAAATAAATTAAAAAAAGTTCAAGATTTCTGCATTTTTTGTGATTCTTTTCTAATGACGTGCAACTGACATTGATTTCAGCTTTGTCTTTTACTAGGATTGGAATCTCTTAGGTTTAATTATGAAATTTAAGATTTACATATATATAGTATTTTGTTATCCATCTAATTATGCAATGACATCAGCTTTCATCTTTTTGAAGGTCACCTTGTAAAAGCTTGGGACACTTAGAAATAAGATTCAGAGGTTCAGAGCTAATTTTAATTCTGGTATTTTATAAAAAGTTTTATCAGTGTGACAAAAGTATCATCCTGACAAAGGTCCTATGGAGTGTTTGTCAAAAGCTGCCCCAGTACAGTGAAAAAACCCATAATTTTATGTCATGAGTTTGTATGTTGTTTAGTGTTATACTCATCTAAGTCCATTTATCAAACACATAGGAAATAAAGTGCAAATGGATGTTTCATTGGTTTACTTTAATGGGGTTAAAATAAGGTGAAAGAGAAGGAAGTTTATTAAATAAATGCTTGTAAATAAAGGAAAGAAATTTAACAAAAGGAACTTTACTGTTGCTTGATTATGTGAAAGCCTCAGTTCATTAAAACTTCCTCTAGTAAAACACCTATGTGTTAAGTGTTAGCTCTTTTCAGATACTGGTACTTCGTGCTTATAATTTTGAAAGTAACTCAAAATAATTTAAAGAAAAGCTAGAAAAGATTTCATATGATTTTTTTAACAAGCAATCTCTGATCTAACCAGAGAAAATAAGTGGGTAGAGTCAACATCAAACCCAAGGATGGGTAAGGCTCAATCTGCCAAACATGTTGCAGCTTTGGGTGATAGTCATTTGTCAATCCAAGTCAAAAATGGTAAGCAGCATCAACACTGTTTATTGCCCTCTATCATCATTCTTCCTCACACTCTGCTTTTTATGATTAGAAACCTCCTTGAAATACCTGGTTGGTATGTGAATCTTGCTCTTCACTTTGGACATTTATTTGCATAATTACCTTTATTAGAGATAAACCATTTTTGACCTCTTTTATAGCTTACTTTTTCATTCATGGGTATCCTGTCATTATCACATCCATACCTGCTACACTGGTAGCATTCCAAGCATTTCGTGACCTTTCAATTGCAGGGCAATTTTGAAACTGACATGTTTAAAAAGTTCAGAACAATTGATATAAGCGTTTTTTAAGAAGATCAGTATGTTCTTGGTGAATCTGCATTAAAACAACTGATAGCCAGAAGCCAATGGTTAGCAGAAAAAAAGTCATGTATCTTCATAAGCACCTCTCGCTTTCAGAATTGCCGTACATCGTTTCGTTCATCATAAAATAAGCTGTATTCTGATAAATTTACAGGAAATACAATGAAATTCTGGAAGTAGCAGGGTGAGAGCAGTTTAGCAAACACTCTGGTTCAGTCATAGATTGCTTTTTATATTTAAAGATTAAAATAAGTTACTAATTATGCAGTTTGAATGATCTAATATTGTCATCTAAAATTAAAGCATCAACAAAAATAAAAATAAATCTTATGAAATCTTTCTGTATCAAAATATAATATAAATACACATATAGTCAAAGTAAAAAAGAAAAGAAACAGTCTAGTATTTGTAGGCAAACTTCAGAGGCTGATAAAGTAGCCATTAGTGTGTCAATTGCTTTTTGGTGATTTCAGTTTACCAGTTAGTTGATTTAGCATTCACATTTTAATGTGCACAGACTTTGATGTGTTGGAGAGTTAAGATGTGGAAATTGTGATTGTATGTTTGCTGTTTTGTAAGTACACAACTCATTGTTTAAAAATCAACTTTGATTATTTTTTTGAATTGATGGAATTATGAGAATTCCACTTATGTGAATATGCATAATTTTGGGCCTCTACAAGAATGCATAACAATGCCTTTCTACACATCAGTATAAACACCCAACAACTACAATACATGACTTTTAGAGATGTCTTCTTAAATTATGAAAACAGAATGAAGATCAGAATAATTAAAAATATGATATAAAATTAAAGTGTTCCATATTTGAAATTTTCTGCTCACATAAAATTGATAGCAATAATATTTATAGTATCAATTACCTTTCTCTAGTATACTTATAAGTAAGGAAATCTACATATATTTTTTGGTATTATTAAGAGTGTTCAAAACTTTTGTAAACAGGATCAATTGCAGCGACAAAGCAGTAATAAACTTTAACTTCTGACATTTTTAAATACACTGTCAACAAGCCATTGTGCTTAGTTTATCTTGTTAGATCAGTAACTGTGATGTTCTTTTATGGAAGACAAAGTGAGTCATTCAAGTTACACATTCACCCACTTCTCCTTCAAACTACATTTTGTATAAGTTTTCTAGCAGTGTCAGGAAAGAAATTTTAGATTACATTAACTTAAAGAGCAGTTTGTTTACTATATTGTGCTTGTCATATAATGATATAGTAGATTAAATAATTATGAAATATAAATGTTTAAGTAATATAAAAACCTCAAAGGATTACCCTGAACAATACTGAGATATGCTAAACTTCTGTATTTTTATTAAAAGGTATCTGGAATAATTTAATTGAACGTTATTTACAAATTCAAAGAGGAATGGTGGCTCGAGAAGTGATATCACCACATCTTGTGGATTTAATCTTGGTTTCATATTCATAGTTATCAGACTCAAATCCTTGATTGCTTTGAATGTTCTCAGTTAACCTTCATAAAATTCTCCTTAGTGACAGCAGTGTTACACTTGGTTGAATTGTGATTATTTAACTAGTAGACAGCCACATATTCTTTTTACATAACTAGAAGATATGAAAACCAATATTTTATTCTTTGGTATCACATCCCTAACATTGATCAAAAAATTATTATAATTGATTAAACACAAATGTAATTTATATTTGTCGATAAGCTCTATGCATAGCCGACACTATATTTTAATGTAACTGTTGCCTTATACAAGATAACATTGTTACTACTGATTTTTAAGCATATGTTCTCCATGAAATGAGATAAGTTTGCCCAAAATAATATTAAGAATAGGTATACACTTTATTTTCTTCACTCAACATGGGAGGTATATAGATAGACTTTCAATTGATTAGAAAGGAATAAACAAAAAGTTATCAATACTTTGTGTTCTCTTCTGGCATGACGTCTGCTTAATCCTTATGATCTTCTAGATGTTAGTCTGTAGCACCTGGTCCCATTTCTTCACAACAATATCTTCCAACACGTGGAAAGTCACAGGATGAACAGGGCTAGCTGAAACAGCATCCTCGATCGAGGTCCAGATATGCTTAATAGGGTTAATGTTTGGAGCAGCCCACTTCATAAGGATAGTAGTCTCCTTCTGAATGCACAACTCCATGTCTCGAGCACAGTGTGTAACATTATCATCCATAAGGACAAATTCAACACTAATGGTATTGGTGTACAACTTCATCTAAATGTCTAGGATTTCATTTCTGAACTACACAGCTGTCAATGAGCCATCTCATTGAGGTCAGTTCATTGAAGCATTTCCTCCAAGACCATGATGGATCCACTCCCCTCATGTTCTGCTAAGTTTGCATTGTGATAATACTACTAAGGTTGTTTTCACACATTAGTATCATGGTTTGTGAAACCAAGAAAAATATTGAATTTACCTATGAAGAATACTCGTGTCCAGTCTTGGATGGTCAAAGACGTGGTTTTGAGTCCAACTTTGATGATTTTGACACTGGGCCAACGAGATCCTACTACGTGCTTTTTGTGACCACAAATCAGCTTTTATGAGACAGTTTGTATTGAACTCTAATGCGTTTTGAAGGTCATAACAGAACTTCTGTAATATCCGAAAATGGTCTTGTCGTGCCTGTATCTTTTGAAAGCAGTCTTGTCCTGGACTTATTGCTTTGTACAACCCTTTCTATGCCATATTTTTATATTTCCATTAATTATATATCATATACAATCATGGAAGATGACATTTTAGCTTGCATCTTGGTTTTTCTGTACCAGGTCCGTTCGAAGAACTTTCCTGATGTTTAATGGGATAGTTGTATCTTATTGTCACATGAAGCAGAGTTAATTTTTATGATGAAATTTTCTGATTTGAAGACTACAAAAAAAGGGTCATTCGTGAATGCAGTTTTAGCGGTTTCAATGAGATTCTTTTCTTTTTTTTATCTTTGAGGTTAGGGGGCTCATTCATGAGAGAGCGCCAAGACTAGCTGGTAAAATCTCATCGGCGTAACAAAAAATTTTACCTCTGTTGATTGTGCAATTACCTTTAAATAAACACAGTTTAATTTAATTCGACATTTATCTTTCCATTTACAATAGTCCTACCGCTTTAAATTTTTAATTTATCATTAGAAATTAAAGTGTTATTTTGTGTAAACGACTTCAACTGTCTTGTCTCTTTCATTCCACCACTACAAATCGCATACACCTGTCAATTCCACACGCTAGGTTCTCATATCTCTATAGTGAGAAGATCGGATAATTATGTATTTGGTAACCTAGAATTCCAGCAAGGCTACTGCTTCCCATAGGTTAAAAATAAATAAACATTCGATATCTATTACCACTATAAACCCGTAATCTATAGTATTTTTTTTTTTATGTTTTGAGATACAAAAATCACAACTTTCGTAAAAGCAATAGATATTTTGTGGTGAAATAGGTACAGTTGTTAAAAGCCACTGTTAATGTTTTTTTTTTCAACTATCTTCTATAAATATGAAATCTAGTTTACTGAAACTCGCACACAAATGTTAAAACTTGTGTTTTAACTGCAACTCTTTTTCATAAAGACAATTAAGGAAATGTTTTATTGTAATTCTTGAGTTATTATTGTTGACTTTTGATGGTTTAAAAAGGACAAGCAAATTTGTTCTTAGCCATTTGAATTTGATATGCATTAAACTAGAAATACTTATTAGTTTTACCAGAACTGGCAAAATACACGTGTGTGATACAAAGGTAATATGAACTTTCAAATGTTACTTAACACTTGATTATTTATTTA